CCAGTCAGATGATTTGCGACACACTTCTCAGAATGACTTCTTGCATCCTTGGCAGTTAAGTCTGGGTCAAACCCTCCCTGGTTGACCCCGCAAAAATGAACCAATGGACGAACACCGCGGGATGTCACCCTACCATGACTTGAGGGGTTGGGTTTTGAGTTTTGACTCTAAAATAAGGAAGATCCCATGGAAGATCCAATACCCGCACGGTTGGTCTATTTGGGCTTTGCAAGGTATGACACCGCCTCACACTTCATGCGCCTCCCGTGCGCCCGTCAAGGCCGTGGCCTCATTTTCCCCTTGACCGATGCCGAAGCCTCGTGGGAAGGACGGGTACAACGGGGGTGTCGAACGGGGGGCCTTGGATGACATGGGATGACCATCCTTCACGGAGCTTTGAACATTGTACTCGTACATGTGACATCTATGTCACATCAAAAAGGGTGCAAAACCTTGGAGATCCAACAGCTTGATACAGCTTGATACAATTTCTGCATTGCTCATTGATAAGCACCAAGGCGCAAAAGAAGCATTTACATTAATATGATGTTCCTTGCAGAACTTGCGAGCAAAGCAGGATGGGTCAGAGCAACTGTATACCTGCTGGCGATGCTCTACCTCTTCCTTGGTGTCAACATCGTGCGCCCGGCATGGTCATTTGTGGCAGCTCCCCTTGTCATGCAGTTCTGTGTCAAGTCAGTCAGCTTTGTCACGTACACATACGGTTCTGTTGTCAAGTGCTAGGAGGAATGTGGCTGGCTCCTACTGCCAGTTACTGTCAACTAAGAAAATGGTCAAATCGGACCATTCAGACTTCGTATTTCCAGGTGAATCTGTGTGCTAAATTTCACAACCTATGGGTTATAATGGCTGGAAACATTTCGAAAAAAACAATAGAAGTTTTTTGAAAGGTGCGGAGGCAGGAAAACTTGCAACATCAAGTAACCCCCATTTAGCAGCGGATCATTAGCAAACTCTTTTTCAAGCATCTCTTCGTACTGCTGGTGTGTTCACAGCAGATGTCTGTGACATGCTTCTGTCTGCATGTTGGAACTGGATTGAAACCAGCTTGAGGCAATTCAGATCACAACAGTGAACATATCAAACCAAATACTTTATTCAAACAAATGAGGAGGTGGAGTCCGAAAACCATATGCTTGGGAATTTTTCATTGCCAAAAACTTCACTTCGGCCAGCGGTGATCTGTACTTTTCAAAAAAAATAACTGGGGACCAAGTTTCCGGGACCTGTAATGTTGGAAAAAAACTATGTTTTTTCAACAAAAATTATATATAACTGGGGACCAAGGTTCCGGGACCGGTTCCAGAACTTATAATTTTCAAAAAAAATATAACTGGGGACCAAGGTTCCGGGACTGGTTCCAGAACTTATAATTTTGAAAAAAAATTAACTGGGGACCAAGGTTCCGGGACTGGTTCCAGAACTTATAATTTTGAAAAATGGTTATTCTTTTTTTTTTCAAGAAAGGTATAACTGGGGACCAAGGTTCCGGGACCGGTTCCAGAACTTATAATTTTGAAAAAAGTTATGTTTTATTTTTTTAAAATATATAACTGGGGACCAAGGTTCCGGGACCAGTTCCAGAACTTATAATTTGGAAAAAAGTTATGTTCTTTTTTCAAAAATAATATATAACTGGGGACCAAGGTTCCGGGACCGGTTCCAGAACTTATAACTTTGAAAAACAAGTTATTATATGCTTTCAAAAAACATATATTAAGCTTTCTTATTAAAATTTGCTCAAATCGCGTAAAAGAAGCTGTGCAGCTTAATGCAACACTGTTTTTTGCATTAAGCTGCACAGTTTTTTTTTTGAGGGATTTGAGCACATTTGAATAAGAAAGCTTAATGCAAAATGTGATTATAAGTTATCATTTGTTGAACAACAAATATTTTTTTCAAAATTATAAGTTCTGGAACCGGTCCCGGAACCTTGGCCCCGGTTCCAGAACTTAAAATATTGAAAAAAACAGTTATGAGTTGTTTCAAAAAAATATATAACTGGGGACCAAGGTTCCGGGACCGGTTCCAGAACATCTAATTTTGAAATAAAGTTAGGTTTTTTTCAAAAAAAAATATAACTGTGGACCAAGGTTCCGGGACCGGTTCCAGAACTTATAATTTTGAAATAAAGTTATGATTTGTTTCAAAAAACAAATTAACTGGGTCCCGGAGCCTTGGTCACCAGTTATTTCTTTTGAACAACTATAACTTTTTTCCAACATTACAGGTCCCAGAACCTTGGTCCCCAGTTATTACGAATCATTTATGTTTTTTCCAGGCTATGTGTTTCTGGACTCACACATCCAGTTATGTGTTTTTTTTTGTGAGTTGCAAATTGTAACCTTTTTCAGGTTACATCACATTCAATTATACTTTTTGTTTTGAAAGATTCAGGCTATACACATCTGGACTTGTGCCTTATGCCTTCAATTGTTTTGCGTTTTAATGATATACCGGTGTACCAGTTTCTTTATAGTTAAACACTGCATCCCTGAGTTCGCATAGTGCCACACAAACCCCCAGTTACATAAAACTTATGATTTATTTCCACAATTTCCCAACAGAGGTTGCGAAATTTAGCAAATCTGTGAATCTGAATTTGCAAGACGTCTATAATCTATATATTGTACAATTGCATATTCATATCATATATATATACATTATATATATATATATGCAACATTGTACAACGCTTGCTGTGAGAATCCGCTGAGAGCCCCAGTGGACGGCACTTTGCGTAGGGATACACTGATTCCTTGTCGACTTGTTACATAAAGTTTGAGAGATCCTATGAATCGTCATTGCATGATGGAAAGGATGCCAAGGGTGCTCTGTTAACCACCAACTCAGAAAACATATCATGTTGGTCATTTCCGACAGAGTCACCCCAGCCACTGAGACTCACTAAGCGAGAATTGTACTTCTCATTTTCCGCCCTCCACAGGCTTCAACAATTACTTTTCATTCTTTAATATGTATACAAGTACTGTAAGTGTTTACGATGCACGCAGTACAGTACGTACTTGATTCTTGATCAGATTCCGTGTTGATTGTTTATTGTGAGAACATTGCGAACCCATCCTTGCTCCTGTTGTGAACAGCAGGCTGCCGACAAATTTGTTGCGGCTATTGAGGGCATCACCAGCACAAAGCGACGAGTGCTGCAGAGGTGCGGCCCAGCTAGCAGCATGGATGACATGGAAAGGAACAAATTGAAACCTCGGCAGACTTAGCAGGGCAAAAGAAGAGGTACATCGTTATTTCATGTAAAACTCTGATCTTTTGTTGGCTTCCTTCTGGTTTGCAGCCACAGAAGCAATGCGAGGAACTAACTGAAGTCTTTCTTGCCACTCTTGCCATTGCATTATGCTCCAACATCATGCTGTACATAACAACCTCCCACAGTGTGCTGGAACCCATGTTGCAAAGGGTTGAACATGGTTGAACACATAGTAGGCTTCACCTTTATCATGACTTGTTGAAAGTCTCCCTCCCTCGCTCGCTCGCTCTGAGTTTCGGATTGTGCAGTCAGGTCTACTGGTCGAGTAATTACAGTTTGTGCTTCTCGTCAGCAGAGGATTGGGGCTTCCATGGCACTGAAGATGAGCGATAAGATAAGAGCCTCCAGACATTTCAACTCTGTCTAAAGAGTCTAAAGTCAAGAGTCCAAATTGACCCTCATTGTGCTGAAGTTTACCGCGGTCATGTGACTCATGTGTTTGAGGTTTGGAACGGCACAGTGGCGAACCTGACGCTCTTGGCTTTAGGCTCTTCTGCGTCCCTTGGAGACAACACATGTCCTTTTGACCATGGGCTCCCGAGAGCATTCCGTGTCCATCCCATCAGCGAGGGGTGCGACGATGTGCCACAGAAGGGTTTTAAGCCTATCCGCATGTCTTTGCATTGAGGCCGTTGATCGGACATTTTGGGAAGGTCCTTTTCCTTTTCAATCCTCGATTGTAAGGCCGGAAATCTTACTCTCCGTCGTTGAGATTATTGGGTCAGCCTGGCGAACTTCGAGATGGGTGCGAACTTCTGGTTGAGGTTTGTAATCCAATTTGGTGCGAACTTCTGATAGTGTCATGAAACGTCCGCCCATTTCGGGAAGTCGGCCACGTGAATCTGTGAACAAAAGTCCACACAGTAGTCAGACCGTCCACTCAAGAAATCAACATGAGTGTTAACATGCCCTGCTTTTTTGAGTGTTGACATGTGTTTTTAGCGGATTTTCTGCCAGAGTTTGTCACGAGATGTGGACGCCAGGAACGGATGCTTTGCTGGGGAGCTCGGCCCCTCCACCATTGTCGGCCCGGAGCCTCAGATGGGACGCATCGGGTGGTAGACCGCCATGACACAACAGTGGCGGGAGAGTCACCAATTTCTGAACACTCTAACGAGAGCTGGGACATAAATAAAGGATAATAAAGGTACGTATCAACTTACCAACGCAACTCTTTTCTCACTTTGTACCATTCTGTCTCCTGACTTGCATTGGACTCCTGACGTGAATAATCAGCCTCTATTGATTCACAAGATGCTTAGTTTTACCTAGTCTACATACTCTTCGGTTCAGTGCTTGTGGTTTCATCCTTCCAGCTGGTCCATCTGAGGTTCTGCGGCGTTCAACTTGTTTTGTATCATCGTTGCAGCCTCGGAGCTGGGGCGTCCTGGGCGGGTGGCCGCTCAACAAACAAGGTCAAGGCAAGACCATTTCTTCGGGCAGCTGGATCTTCTCAGACAATTCATCCCGCAAGACCAAGGGTGTATGTGTCATGGCCATACCCGCTGGAGAAATCCGCCTGATCAAGGACCTAGGCCGGGCTCGGTGTTTGGTTGGGCACCTTTGGGCCACCTCAATCCACACATTAATCACATTGGTTGGCAGCAACCTTGAGATGGCTTGAGTCCTAGCTTTCTTTGCGCTGCTCGTTCTAGCTTGACACTTGGCCATTTGAATGCATCGCTGAATTTGCTGCAGCCCATTTGGTAGTTTCAACCTGTCCATCCACAATGGCTGTTGCCTTTCGCTTGCGCAGTCGGCCAGCCATTAGCGAATGGTCCGTCGATCAGGCCATGTGAGTAGAGAAGATGGCATTCACACGACCAGAAAAGAACCTCTATAGTCCTCCAAAAATGCGAGCCAGCGTTCTGCCAGACATCCATCATGCAGTCAAGCAGTGATGCAGTACCTATTAAACCTGAATTGTCAACGTCAAAGTTTTCAATGGCATCATCAGCACACCTTCCAACCACCGAACCCATCCCCAAAGATCAACATAAGAAACAATGTCGTTTCTTTGAATTTACGTGCCCCAAAACCACAGATCCACGCAATCCACGCGCCAGCGGGGAACAAGAAAGCCGGTGGGACCTCGTTTGCTTTCTAGAAAATCTAGAATCCATTAGAAACCAGATGATTGGTGCGAGCGCTTCTTCAAGCAAGGGTGAGATATCCTGCGTCCATATTATGCACATAGTACTGGTAGCTAACTTTGCCCTTGCTGAATTTAAGTAGGTGCCTACTTAATTATAGAGGGGCAGGCTACGGGCTTAAAGCCACATAAAGAACGGGCGAAATAAACATCCAGTTCTTCCTCGACCTGAAGACCCAACGTTTCGACCCTTCGACCCTCCGGTGTTTCGCTAGGTCTCGGACTTCCTGGAGACCTTGGGCCTCGAGGCCTCGCTGCGTGAGACGTTCCGCGCCGAGTCGGTGGACGGGCGGACCTTGTGCGAGATCACGGATGAGGACCTCTCAGGACCTGGTGCGAACCCACGAAGCGGCCGAGAGACAGTGGAAAGTTGGGGGGTTCAAGGCTTGATAGGGAGTAGGGGGGATGGGAGTATGGTGGTACAGGATGATGTAGGGATGGGATGAGGGTGGATGACAACAGATGTCTTCAGTTGGTGCGGCATGGTTCTGGTTCACATATTTGTATTTTAAAAGCAAAGGTCTTTGGTATAGTAAGACACAGGAGAGCATGTCACAGGTCAGGTGGAAGTGTTTTGCTCGGGACCAGCCTGGGGCAGCATTCAGCAGGATCAGAAACTATACTATATATCCTATCCTTCAACATCCTTCGACCATGATTGCATGTCCTCAAGGACCGCCATTTGCGCTCCCTTTCGGCCTGCTGAAGGACACTGGAACCAGGTTCCACCTTGGAGGGTGTCGGTGATCGTTTTAGCCTTGGACGAACCCAGAATAACTCCGTTCTATCCTGGCATTTGTCGTTGCCTCATGTTGCCTCCTCCCTTGGCTCTTTTATGACACGTAGTCCATGGTCTCTCCAAACCTCTCCAACCTATCGTTGTAACAAAGTGGACTTTTTGCACCATGCAATCTGAACTTTCCTGAGCCTGACGTCTCCAATGATGGGTGCTGACGCTGGAACTACGGAGAATTGCAGTCTCCCTGTCGCTGCTGACAGTATAGATAGTAAAGGAGGTAAGCTTGAATATGGAAGATTGTAAAGGGACAAATTGAGATGGGCATGAGTCAAATGAGTCAAATGAGTCAGGAGTTGGCACAGCAGCGACGTTTGGAGAGCAGCCGTCAGCCCGAACGTGGCTTAGAGCGTGGACCGTTCCTGGTGAAAGGCGATCATGTGGACGGTGCCTTGGAGGCAAGAGGCAGATGTCGTGGACTCCTGGAACCATCAAGATCACAAAGACACTCCGAGATCGTCGGAGCAATGCTGATATCTATCATATACTTTTGATATCTTTTGATATATATATATAATATTTTAAAAAATATCCTTTGCATATTCTTTTGAAACTCAAACTCTGGCATTGTTTTGATTGAGCGACCTAGAAACTGCACGGGAGGATTGGGTATTTGTTATATTTGTTACAATATTCGGTCATGTTGTAGGCTCCACACGCTTGCGCCACTTTAGAGAAGCATTGTGAATCATCCAAGTGCTCCAAGGATCATGTTGGTTCCATTATTTTCAACTAATTTTCTGCATGTTTTCCTTTCGTAAAGTCACCTTCGCGCTCAGGAAGGTGTGGGTGGGAGCCATTGCGGACACAGCCCAGGAACTTCCGGATAGATGATAATAGAACAAGACCCCACAATGCAACAGGGATTCAAGAAAGTCAACTGAAAGGAGTGCCAAGGCGGCATATAGAGATATTGAAACCATCTTGAGCCCAATGCCCACTAAGCCTCGCCTTGGGCCCCGGACACTTCTGATTCAACAGGGTGCCTGTGCTTCCAACCTGGTTAGAGCATTAGACATGAGTCTTTAATGAATCAAGTCAGATCCATCAACAACTCTCCTTGGCCAAGGTCCACAACTGAGCCGGGATGCTTTGGAACGCATTCGAACCTATAGACTGGAGGCCAAGCACCGCTGTTTGCTTGGTCATGACATGTCCGCCACCGAGTACAAGGGGTTTTCGACTCAGAGGGAGCCGCTGTACGATGATATGAGACAACAGAAATGAGCCGCCCAAATTCAGTGGTAAGGCGGGCAGCTTCCAATGTGTTCTTCCATCAACGCAAGCCAGGCATCCACAGGACGATTAGTTCCACGGCAGCCGCCCTTGAGCGATGAAGAGCTGGACTGCTGGCAATATCAGGCAGGACGAGGAGTACCATGAGGGGCTCATTACGAAGTCGCACGGACACGAGGTCCGTGCGACTTCGTACGAAGGATTGAGTGATTCCCTTACTGAACATCCAATGATTCGCCAGCCCTGAGGTAGCATCTTGCCACCTCTGAGTCCTTCTGGCCAAATCTGTTCGCATCCGCGGCAATGGTGAAGTGTTTATCCATCCCCTTAGGCAAGACTTGTGAATTTTGATAACAAAAAACATACACATGTCACATATGTCATTTGTATATACATATGAAATTTTATGAATATTTCGCTTTAAACTTGCTGGCCAGTTGTTGAAGTTTACTCGATGATAATGTTTTCCTGCCGCAGATTGATCTTGTTTGCGGAACACTCGATGGCCTCAAAGGCTCAAAATTAACCTGTAGACTACTAAACTGCACACTTTGACTGTTAATTAGCATCTGGATGCCACAGGCCTCATGGCTGGTATGTCCTGTGACTGGAAAGGCAGGTCGGCGTCGGGGACCTGAACTTTGAAAAGACTGGACGAACTCTACAGCTGCAGCGACACTGCATTCACCCATTTCCCCTGACAACACAGAGCCCACAACATCGATATGATGTCGTTCTATCCTTTGAGTCATCAGCCTGATTTTGCATCAATGGGCCTTGCGCGATACACTGCCATATCATGCTGTGTCCGTGCGTCCATGTTCGAGGCCTGGGCAAGAAGCGACGTTGTCTCGACGATGGGCGTGGCCTTGTACCATGCACCCAGCGCTTTGGTTGAGAGGTGCCAGTCGTAAGGTCTCACCTGGTTCACTTCCCGAAAGCAGGAACAATATGTCTCTGAGCTGTGCCTAAGTACAAAGATGATGCACCCAAAGAGCTGTTTTTGTGGCATTTCTCCTTTCATAATTTTTCAGGGCTTGAACAATGATGTGCACCGAGGATTCTGCTCTGAGAAGGAAAAACAGCGGCTCTTCGTCGAGGAGGAGAATGGACCTGCTTGCCAGTGTCCCGAGTTTCCTTGGATGAACCACATGAGACATGTTTGTCTTTGTCCAATCGTTATGTGACGTGTGCGAACCACTGGCACGTGTCATGCAGACGCCATGGCTGCCGCTGCTAGGAGCAAGCTCGCCGCTACGACGCCCAACGAAAGGCCGAGATGGACCACAGCGGTACAAGCTTCGAACGTAGCTATGAGGCGATGGGCCCGAGGATGTCGGAGGTCTTCGCAGATAGGAGACCCTGCGAGACCAAGTTGCTTTTTTCTGGAGTTTTTCGCGGTAGATACGGGTAGTAGTGGCCAAGCATCACACACTCTTTGCAGTTGGGATCAATATTCTGACACACATCCAACAGGTCCAACATGCATACAGCAAGTAAATGCAAATACGAAGCGTCATTCTTGATGCCTCAAGTTCCGGATGCAGGATCATTCATTCCGGCTCATTCGGTGAGGTTTACCCCATGGTGGAGCCTCCTCCCTTGGCCAACCTGCCGGTCTCCACGGCATCAAACGAGCCCGAGAACGCGGAGCAGCTGCAGAGCTTGCGAGCAGAAGTGTCAGGCAGAATCGTTTCTACTGACAAAAGGTGAGGGAGCAGTCCCTCAAATGCCAAGGGCATCAAGACCATGCATTGCGGGATATTGCGGGTGTAGCAAACAAAGGTTCAGTGGTTTCATGTACGTCAGATGTGTGTATATAAATGAATTGTTCAACTCTGTGTCCCAGGCTTGCACACACAAATTCAAAATGATGTTGATTGGGTTTTAGGTTCAAAGTTTGGCTTGTGATTGTTGTGTCAGTCCGGTTGAAGGTTTGAAGAGCCGATCTGCAGCTGTCCAACGACAGATGTTTGAGGGCTTGTCACAAGATGGACACTTCGGAGACTTTCAGGACTGGTGGAGTGGTGTTCAGAAATTCGACTCTTTGCGGCTTTTCCCGGATTTTCAGGGGACCAGAAGGAATGCGGAGATCGGCCGACCATCCCATGAATTTTCCAACAGATTGTGGGCTTCGGTGGATTATGATTAGTATATGAGCTAGGCCTACTGCCAGTAGGCTCAAATCTAGTGAAAGTGACCAATGGTCAGTGAGTGGTCATAGGATTTCAAAAATTCATGTTTCGCTCAAACACGATAAGAACACTCACCCAAATGCCAACAATCACATGACGGACATGAAAAAAACGATAAACACATTCACCAAATTCAGATGACCTGCAACTCCGCAACAAATTTGGACCGTCACGGAGCCACGCATGTGATCGTAATTAGGATTTTCTTTGCTTTGGTAGATTATTGCGATCAATCTGAACGGTGGATCTGCATGTTTGGATCAGAGCTGACGCTGACGCTGGCGAGGATGTGGGACGCGCTTTGGAGCAGTTGAAGGTGGAGCCGGCGGATGACGCAGAGCTGGCTCACAAGTTTTCAGTCTACGAGTACCTTTGATGTCAAGGGTGTGGGGAGCGGAGGGGACACAAGCAATCTTGGGACCTGTGCAGATGAATGCGGAAGGTTACCATGCTGGCTGGCCAGCAGGATCAAAAATAGTCACTTCCCCATACTTGAACGCATATCATTTGCACTGGTCACCCTCCAGACTCTACAGTAGTGACTCCAGTGTATGCAGATGAATCATCAATGGTGGATGCCACTGAAGAGAAGCTCCCACAATCAATACCGACCACTTTAATGCATCACAATTCTATGAATAACATTGAATAACATCAATGCCCGAACCTGCAACCATTTCGTTCATGGCCTGCCCTCTCCCTCTGGTGTTCTGTCTCATGTTGAGGTCGTACTTTGCCAGCGTCGTAGATCTCCGGGCAGATCTCTTTGGTCTTTGGGAACGGGGTGGCCCCCTGTTGGCGGCCGCCGATGCTCAGACCATGCGGGGTGCCATTGGTCGTGTGGACAGCTTCGACAACTTAGCGATTCCTGAGAGGTGCCCTGGGTGGGTGTGCTGGCGATGCTCTTTGTTCCTAGTAGCTTCTTGTTCCTAGTAGTAAGGCCAGGAGCCCCTAGTAGCTTCTTGTTCTTGGCGATAAAAACAATTGCCGTACTAGTTAAAACTCTTTGAAAAAAACGTTGCAGTGCCATCTTCTATTTCTCACTCTCCTTCCGTGTCAGGAGCCGGCATTGGTTTGTGTACCACATGATGAGCACTGCCTCCTCCAATCATCGAAAGATGCAAAAGATCATGGAAGACTTGGAGGAGCTTTTTGAAGCGGCACAAGAGCCTTGGCGACGGTTTGCAACGTCAGCGGGATGAACGAATGGGTCAAGTGAGCGCGTTCCCCCGGTAGAATGATTCACAGCTCAACCTCATCCAAAGCTGAACGCCAATGAAGAAGGACCCCAGCATCTGTTGAAATGAGACCGCATGCTCAGCTCACTTCAAACAGCCCATTTCTTGGGAGCACAAGGGAAAAACCGAGACGTGCACCACCTCTGCGGTGCCCCAACCTTTGCTCGCACCGCCACCGCGCGCGAGGTCCTCGCGCCCGCGCCGTGGGGGTCCGAGGACCGACGCACGGCGGGAGAGTCGGAGGAGCTGACGGATGATCCTCAGCTGGGCACCATGGAGGTGATCATTGGACCGGCCTTCGATGCTTGGTGTGACTGGTCACGTGTTGGACTTGTCGGAGCCAGGGAATGGAAGGGAAGACTTCGGTCGCGGAGGCTGGACTTAGTTGGATTAAACAAATAAACAAGGGCTGCAGTGTTTTGTGTTTTGATGTCGAAGAAAATCGATCGTTGCGCTGTTTCTGTTTAAGCTGGAGTTCCCCAAGTGCCGTCCATGTTTATCGATTTCCTTGAAACGTTTGATTTGACCTTTTGCAATAGACTGGTTCCGGTGAGTCAGCTGTGCATTAGCCAATGCTGGCCAATGCTGATTCCGGTACGTGACTTGCTTCTAAGGATATCGATGCGTACAATGATGGAGTGAAGGGAAACCCCTCCAAAGGGATCTTGGCAGCAGCTGACCGAGGCCAGTTGTTAAACATTTCATGTGGTTTGAAAGTGCATTGTTTGCATGTGGCCTTCACTTATCACTCTGGGAGTGTGGTTGTTCTTGCCCCTATATCTCAGTCATCCTGGTCATCAGCATGTCATCGGATGAGGCATCATTCATGACCAGGCATTCTTGATATGGATCGACAATACAATGCGGTCAACTTCCAGTATTTTGCTCAGCAAGCTGAAGCTGGTGTGACTCGTGCTGGCGCCGAAGCCTCCTTCAAGCGACGATTGTGCACAAGCCGCTTGAGCTTCTACATCGAGGCCTGGTCACTGCTACCTAGTGCTGCACAGCTGTGAGCAAATGAATTTGTAAAAACGATTGACGGTATTCTGTGAAGAGTCTGCAAGAATCCTATCACGAACAGTGCACTGCCAAAATCTACTTGATGGAAGAGGTTTTTCTTGTTCCTGAATGGACTCCTGCAGCTCGCCGGATGGACTGCAGTTGGAACCCGAAGTGAACCGGCTTCCGACGTTCCGACCCGCAGGAGTCGCACGGCTCTCGGATCTTCCCTCGGAACATTCTCTCGCAGCTGAGCTTCTCAGCGCTAACGAAGAAATGGCGGGTGGTCGTTGTCTTGGGGATTGAGGCAAACGTACAAACTCTAATGCAAGACTTATAGAATGGATTATATTGATTATATAAATGTATTGTAATATAATGTAATATATAAGACCACATCGTTGTGGCCCCGGTATCACGTTCTTTATTCTCAATCTATCGCTGCTCAACATCGGACTTGCCTTGGTGCTCACAGCTGAGGTTTACTCTTCTACAGGCGGAACGATGCCTTGCGGTTGGCCAATGGGCAGGTGAACGAGCTGAGGGTCGCTGTTTGCATTCGCAAGGCCATTCCTCGGATGCTGCGAGCCATTGTACTGGATGTCTTTCAGGGAGACCGAAACTTCACACCTCACGTGACCAAGTGGCAAGTGAGTGCTAGGAGCAAAGGACGCTACTAGGGCCTCCTGGCCTTACTAGGAACAAGAAGCTACTAGGGCTCCTGGCATCGCTACTAGGAGCAAGGACGCATCGGAAGACAGAGTGTCCTAGAGGTCAGATGTTTTTGATCTGCTAGGGTGGGGCACAGCTGGTGAACATATTAAGCCCTTATACAGTCTCCGCAGTCTCAACGAGCAGGACATTAGATTGCTAGCCATTTTGTGGAGGTGGATGGACGTGTTTTGGCCATCCGATGCTGGAACCAGACACTGTGACATAGCTGTGGCTTGTATTGGGTGCTCAGGTCGAAAAAGCAGTCCGAGTCTACCTGGCGTTGCACCAAGTGGCCATCAAGTTATTGGCGACATTCCGGAAGAGCTATGAGCTTTTGTACCAATCTGTCTTGGAATCTCAGAGACACAGAGATCAGGATCATCTGGTCAACTTGGTCCCGTTGGTCCCTTGTTTTTGCCCAATCCCAACCAACAGACAAGCGCTACAGCATCTTACCGCTACGGAGGATATTCTTGGTGCTCGAACTCAACTCCACATTTGAAGCCACGAAAAGCTGACAGTAATTAGTACTATGCATTACTTGTGCTGTTTTGCTTCGTCCTGTCTTCCATTTTGGGGGGCATCAACCCAGGGCACAAGGTCCAGGAAGGCCTCTTCATTTCCAGGGTGGTGTAGCATGAGTCTCTCTGAAACTTCAGCTACCAGGAATGGATCCAGCAACCCTTTTGCGCCAAGAGTGACTTGGTCCGAAGTAGGTTCCCTCGAGGTCCGTCTCTTTGCCCCGACTAACAGGTGGATTCTGCTGTGGCTGCGTGTGGTGCGGTTTCTTTTGGGCTCCTGGCTGATTGAAGCCACATGTGCTTGAAAACGCTCGCAAGATCTGAGGTGATGCAGAGTGGCCCGATCTGGAAGAGTTGCTGCGACTTGGAGCAAATCAACTGGTAGGAGTGAAGCAACAGCAAAGGATAGCAAAGGAAGATGACGGATCCACGCGCTCCATCATGCCTTAAACATCTTAGACTTGAACAGTTCATGAATCCCATACGTTATATATCAAGCAACATCAGGGTGGACCACCCCCCCACATGACCTGTTGGGATAGATTGTGATCTAGATAGTGTTTTCCGCCTGTTCCTCCTTGGCTGAGATGATCCAAGGTTGGGCTCCTCTTTGTGCAGTGTCCCCTGGTCTTTGCTTCGAGAGGCAAGCGACCAGGATTTGCGTGGCTGTTGGGTTAAGACTCGAGACCTTAGCTTGGGTGAGTGCAGCCTCAACCGACTGCAGCCACAGATGAGCTTCAAAGATGCTCCTATCCAAAAAGTTTCACAACGAAACCAATGACAGAGAGGATAGACAGAGGCACCATGAGATACCATGAGCCAGAAGTGAAAGGACTCATTCTTCAGAAGTTGTTTTCAATTTTCGAGAAATACCGATATAACATGATATAACAGTGATATATCACAAATCAAGGCATGTAAACGCATGGAAGCCACAGTTCCAGGCCTTTGTTCGGAAGCTCGTGGTCCAGCTCCTGGAGACCACCACCATGAACCCCAAAGCGCCCATCCGTCAACGTGCTGAGCACCTCTTCAACCAACATCGGTATCTTGGATGCATCGACATCCGGAGTGCTGAGGAAGAGGCCCTGAAGGCCAAGGGACAAATCGAGCGTAGCACGTGTAGTGAGATATGTGAGTATACTAGTAGTGATGCAAAGTGAACGTGTTGCAATCATCACAAAACAACTTGGAGTCGAGTGAGTTTGCCATGAGCCCAGGAACTTTCTGGAGAGGTTAACCTACATCTTGTCATTCTTTCAGGCGCGTGGGATAATTCTGGCTTTGCGTTTAGCTTGAACATGTCGCAAATGAGTTGACCAAGCCATTGCAAACATGCCATTCTTGCCTCCCTAGCTCACTGCCGCTCACTGCATCTCACTGCTTCTGTTTCACTGCATCTCACCAACAGTGCTCAGTGATGGCGAGTTGAGGGCTGCAAATCTTGAACATCGCTCTGACAGACAAAGGAAGCTGCCGATAGTGCAGCTTCCAACATCTTGAGCATTTTGAAAAGGAATGCCAGGGTTGACCTGCATGGTGCCCAGGCCGGCCCTGGCAAACTACCTATCCAGGAGATGGACAAGAAATACAGCCGTTGTGCTGGGACTTTACCCAAAGAGGACTGCAGAGTTCCCACCAAATTGTAGATCGCTAAAGCGCTGAACTATGTAAAGATGAACTATGATGAATAGGTTTTGCCCCTTAGCTTAAGTTTGCCTAAACATCTGGGAACCAAATAATTGGTGCGAGCGCTTCTTCAAGGAAGCTCTCCCCAGCCCTCAGGCGGAGCTTCCTTAGGAGCTCCTAGTAGCTAGGAGCGAACAAGTAAGCGCCTACTTATATAATTAAGTATTGGGAGGGCAGACGGCCGATGAGGGCCGAGTGGGCTGGGCTAAAAATGGACACCTGTAGATATTTGTGGATGAACAAGGAACTCATGAACTCGTTGTTTTTTTCAGGTCCACAGCTCCACCAAGGTCCACCGGTCGTCTTTCTCCAGGAGCGTACAGCCCTGGTGGATGCAGCGAAAGAAGGCTCTGGCATCTCCTCTTTGGTAGACCTGTGGGCAGCTTTAGGTATGCAGCGGAGCAAGGACCATCCGGGGCCACTTCAACGAATCAGAATGTCATGTTTGTCATGTACGTTGTGATTCACCATGTTTTGCACAAAGGGAGTGAGAGTTGTTGCATCTTGCTTCTTCTCTTGCTCAAGAGCTTGCTTTAGGCTTCACCCAATGCAGTCCTCCTTGAACCTCTGCCATCAGACATGATTTGGAGCATGGTCCCAAAGGCAGCACATCAGCACATCTATCAACAAACATGGCGAACGACAGCTCGCAGACTTTTCGAGCCAAACCCACGCCCACTAGCCATTTTGTACATAAAGAAATATACTGCATCCTTTGATGTGTTCATTTATATACATCTTTCTACTGCTGTGATCCGCTGTGCAATGATGCGAGGACACAGATGAGTCCGCCATTCTTCAGCACATGGATCCTTGGCTCAGCGTGCTGGTTGACCTGGTTGCGTGCTGAGCCATGCCAACACAACTCCAATAAAATGCAATCCCTCAACATGGGCTTACCACCATATCAGCACACAGGCAGTAAGGAGTTGATATGAGTTGATGTAGGATGCTGCTCAAAATGAATGTACCCTAGTAGAATTGAGAGACGCTCCACAGAGCACTGATTAGAGAGTTTAAGAGGAACTTCACTTCACTTCACTGTTTGGATTCTAGAGGTCAAGGTTTCCCTGTGGACTTGGTCCAGCCTCATGAGAGGGGCACCCAAATCGACGAGAAAACGACGGGTCAAGACTGAGACCTATGTGCACATTTTATGGTATAAACGCATTGCGTATATATAAGAAATGCTATGAACCGCTTGCACCACCCAACCCACCGGTTGGACTTGTCAATCCTTTCAAGGACTTGTTTAAGCGACAACCCAATGAGGAGCTCTTCTTTGATTACCTCCAGAAGAATGTGGCCGCCTGGCGAGCTGCACCAGGCCCTACACAAAGCTCTGAGGGTCCCGCGCTCCCACCCAGTGCGCTGGAACAGTCCTCATCTCAGAGTGGTGACAGGATGTGACAGGAAGAACGTGTCCATGATGTGAAGGAAAACCGATTTAGGAAAGGAAAAGACTGTATTAAGGAATGCGGGGGGTTTAGTTTTCTACAATTCTTTTGCTCAGTTTGCACACTCCAATGCAACTTGTTCCTTCTTCGTCCTCTTGCTTAGCCTAACCTGAAGAGGTTAGCCTCCATTGGCGCAGAGAGCGGTGCGCACGGTTGGCCATCTTCGACCGGCACCTCACGCCGAGAGCGGGAGATGCACAACGCGCAACGCCTGGCGGCGGAGAAGGCGCTACATCAAGGCTTCCCGAAGCTACCACCATCCAGGCGCAGACATATCGGGCTTGATGTAGCACAATGTGACTTGAGGGATTGAAGCTGATTTGGGCAGGTCACAGGTTTTTCGGATGTCAAAGCTTGAAAAGCTCCAATCTAGTTTTGACTGTCGGGCTTGATATCGGAACTGATCAGCTTCGATCTTACAGAACAGCACCCAGGAGGCTGGATGGAACCATGTGCTACTACTGTCATGAGCTCAAGCTGAGGGAGGAACAAAAACAGACTGTGAAGGATTTTCGAGATTTTTTTGAGGCTTATGACTCTGACCTTTGAAGTGAGTTCTAAGTAAAGTTTTACCCTGAAAGTCTTCCTCCGAAGTCACTATGCCACTTTGACTAACCAGACTATGCCGGGGCAGCAACGCATTTTGCCCCGGAGCAAACTCAGAATCTGTCAAGTTTTGGAAGATGTTTGCTCAACTCAGACTGATCTGCTCTTGATCAACTGAAGGAATCAAGCAGCCGCTTCAGGTCAGAAACGCTTCCCCAGCCGCATGGCACTCTTCGCGCATTTGCGTCGCTTGATCGACAAGGAGTGAAGATGAGCGGGTCGACAAGGGATGAATGAGAAGGTGAGAACCCCTTCAGAGGTGCTTGTAGCATTCCCGCTACTAAATTTACCAAGTTATCCAATGTTCAATATTTGTGTTCATCACCCATGACACAGAGGGCACCCAACCAGGTGAGCTCTCAAGGTTTGAGTTCAAGAATTGGAGCAGAACCTCGTCTGTCAGGAGCGCTTCGTGGAAGGCCATCATCAAGAGCATTTCAGACTCAAGATTGGAGGCCGGCGTGAAATTGATGACGAATCGTTTTGCTGAAGCGACATGAATGGAATGGCATGGAATAGCGGAATTTCCGTCCACCGAAAGATGTGAAGTTGTTTGGATGGATTGCAAACAGGCTTGTTTTTGCATGTGTTGGCTCTTTTGGCCAAACCCGGACTGGCAATTTGTGGGACCAAGGACCCTTCACTTTGCCATCTACTGGTCCTCACAAATGCGCAGCAGCCAAATGTGGCAAGTCTTTCGAATCCAAGATGGATCTGTGCCAGCAACTAGACTGAGCAATGAGTGTGTGTATATTTTTAGGCAATTGCATATTCAGATAATTTCATATCACCAAAAAGCATCCACCCACCCTGGTATCGCAGAGCTGTAGAACAGATGGTATTTTGCATGTCTATGCCGAGCAAACTTGCTCTTGCTGTTATGGCATCAAGATTGCCAGAACTATTATCTTTCCATGCCTCAATCACCCTTGCAATGAAATGTGATTGAAGGGCAACGCGCTGGCAAGATCTGTTGGGACAACAGCTCCCCATTTATACAGCCACTTCACCCGATGATACCGTTGCGTTTCTTGTTGAGCGGCCGTTTTTGAACGAGCCCCGGCGTCTATCTCAGGCACTACAACATAATGGGTGTCCCTGGCTATGAGAGCCTTGAGAATGCAGGATACACAGAGGATGTGAAGGCTAAGGCCACAAAACAGCAGGAGAGCCAACACGTTTTGCAGGAGGACAGTGGCGACAATGGCTGGGAAGTTGTTGACTGCCCGTTGTTGAAGAGACTTTTTTGGTGTTTCCTACTTAAGTTTGATGCTGTAATGCTGCATGGGCATGAGGCTGCATACAGTAGACACTCTACGTCTACGTATATACATGTACATATATATATATATATGTATATTGTATGTAGATATGTGATCATATGTGTGTTTTTGCAAGTACATAATACTGCATCAACTGTGGCATCAACATGAAGGATGTGTTGTTTAGTTATAAAGACCCAACCTGGTTAAAGCTCCGCAACTTGCCCGGTGCCTGAGTCCCTTTATGAAAGCCAAGCCAAGCCAACCAAGTCAAGGTTGATATGGAGACGGATCTTGCAACGTGCGCAGTGTGCTTGGATCGGCCTGCAGACGTGGTGATGGTTCCTTGTGGTCACATTTTCGCATGTGATTCTGACCTTGCTTCAGAGCATCCTTTTAGGTTTTTGATATATTTTGAGATACTTGTAAAAACCTATGTGCTGTATATAGTACCTACAACATTAAAGGCGCCATATGTCGTCCCGTGCTTCGTGAATCTGACCTAGGTCATTGTTGTGGACAGAAGCTGAAAGAATGTTCATTGTGCCGAGCGAAAGTTTCTCAAGTTTTGAAAGTGTACTATAGCTCGTGATAGCTTGTGACACTGGACTCCTTACTTGTCCGCCTTGCACTGTGCTGACCAGAACCCTCAATATGTTCTCCTGTTTTGTTAGAGAAGGGTAGAACAGTGGGTAGAACAATGTAGAACTGTAGAACATATGAGCATGACATTGGAGGGACGATTCGCCAGGATTGCCGGTTTTCTGCCTGGTTCCGTGGCCTAGCCGATTTGCCGAGATTGTACAGTTCACATCTCATTGGCTCAACATGTACAGGTCCCATCTCTTAGAAAAAAATGGCACCATTGCAGCATGGTCGGGAGTGGCGGTGCTGTCTTCGAGTTGGATCTGTCACGACATTGAGAAAGCAATCGAAGGTCTGGTGGGGAAGTGCCAGAAAGATTCCAGAGACCTTGGAGAGGAGCTGAGCACCCCTGGGGGTCTACCAGGTACTCGCGTCGCAACCTCGTGCAAATTGGGCCATCCTAGTCATGGCCTTGGGATGGACAAGTGGTACATAATTACATAATGCTGTCCCCGGTAGAAACAATGTATGATGTACTGTAACTGATATGTTGAGTCCAAAACCACCACATGGACAGTTGCCAGTCATGCGCGATGTGAAAGCCAGGTGTCTTCTGGGTGACTGCGGCCTTCTCCATCTTCGCTTATCTCTGGCTGGTCCTTATTGTACAGGTGCGCACAACTGATCGCCAAGCATCTGCACAACCGACGGGCGGTTGTGCGGACAAGAACGGGACTCGGGACAGCCGGCTGGCACTGGCACTCTTTGGCTTCAGGTTCTGGAAGACTTCACGACTGGTCTACATTGGTCTGCTATGGTGAACTATCCAGATGCGCTAGTTTGCCTCGTTGTACTTGCGGGGGTTAGGAGGGGGGTTCTATCTCTTGACACACGCCCCGACAGTGAAACAGTCGCTTTTCCGAAGCTTGATAGAGTGTGACAGTAAGAAAATTATCCAAAGACCAGAAATGAATTGGATTGAAGAGGACCGAGGATACAAAGACACACACTCTGACATTGGTTTTCAGTTAGCTCAATTCCCAGGAAAAATGGCGAAGGAACGGCAACGCGAAAGGTCCAAGAATTTGAAGATGTTTCAACAATGTTTTTTTTTGCACATCTGCAGTGCACGAACGCGCAGCTGCTGAAAGCGGCAGAAGGAAGGGTTTAGGGGGGAAGTATCGTGGAACCAGCATGGAAACAAACAAAAGAGATTGGAACAGCGTGGGCAAAAGTTCAAAACTGTCGCAGGTACGTGAGTCGAGCGTCCTCGACTCATATCACAGGAAACGTGCAGCGTCTTCGTTGGTCGCTGACTGCACGAATCCCCAGCGACCCCCCTGCTGAACAAGAGCTTCGAAACACAAACGGTGAGGTGGAACCCTTAGGCACAGGGGTTGACATACACACAAGAACTTAGTTACGCCACGAACTTGTCTTCGATGAATGCGGGCAAGAGCAATACAGCCCAAACCAAATTGGGATGATCCGAAAGACCTTTGTGTTCACTTCAGGGATGCCAAGTGTTTCGGGGATGACTGGACTTTGGTTCACTTCGCCAGTCTCTGGTCTTCACTGATGTTTGGGTGAACGAAACCCCTTCGTGCCCAGCAGTCCTCATGAGGGGAATGTCGAGAAGACAGGCAGTTGTAGAAGACAGGCAGGTGCTGCACTCGGATCTCAGAGGAATTCGGATCTCCCTGTAGGATACCACTGGTATTACCAGGATACTGCGCCTCAAACAAACCTGCCAGACATGTTTTCGGGGTCGTACCATCGAAAGACTTCGCCGACTTCGGTCGCCCACCGGCACTGACAGGTGACCTCCCCCAACGTCATTGAGGTCTGGGAGGCGGGAGGTGGAATCCGATAGGATTGGGTCGGAAGACGTCCGACAGATGGGCACGAAGAGATGGGAAAGGTTGGCCGAAGTCCTTTGAAGAGAGATCGGACCTCGGAGGTGGTTATGTGAGGAGAATTGCGATGACAAGGTACCTGGTGAGAAAGTAGGAGGTTGTGATGCTGCCAAGTTCATTTGGCAAGCAATCTCAGCTGTGCAGCCATGCTACATTCACAACAACTTCAGTTTGAAGAGGTATTTCCTATTGACAGTGCACAAAAAGAACCGTCCAAACTTGTGACACTTTCGGTAAGGTAACCGTGCTCTTGACCTTCTTTTTTTTCGGTATACGGTATGAGGTTTTGAACACCACAGCATCAAATCATTTGACCGTTGGGCTTTGCACTTGGTGACAGGCCTTGGTGACCTTAGCCTGGCTTCCCGTGCTGATCCTGGTGTCTTGGGCGCATTGGAACCTGGAGATTCGTGGAGCACCGGTTCGAAGCCTTTCGATTCGCATCGGCGCCCATGTGGTGTCCACTTGACCTGTTTCGGGCCTTGTTCTAGGCCCGTTTCAGTGAAGCCTCGTTTCAGGAGCTAGTAAATGAGGATGGTGATGATGACGATGAATAAGTTCAACAGTAATTACTAGTGAACAGGAAAAGGCCTGCTGGAGAGAACCATGCCGGGAGAAGGCTCCATGATGTTCCCACACATTTTTGCCTTGCAACATCTTGCAACTGATTCTATCATGTTGTTGTGATCTGATGTGATCTGTATGCCAGAGCTGCTGAGGTGTCCTATTTGACTGACATTGGGTGGTTTTCTGGAGTCAGGAGCCGACTTGCTGCCTTGCTTGTTGAATACAATACACATTGGCCGGAGTCAGCACAAGAATATGAATAGGACACTGCAGAAGTCACTTCAGGAGCAGAAAACCATTCCCAAAGCCCCAAGACATCCATGAATCAATGAATGATGATTCTGAACAGAACAAGTTGAGAAAGTATTCTATGAGAATGTATGAAAATATGATTATCATGATTCATGACAGGGTATGCGGAGGCTATGGCTCGTTCTGCCTCATTCCAAAAGCTTGCTCGCCTTTTTCTGATCTTCTGGACGCTAGAAACAGCATCGTTGGAGTCCGCAGTTCATCAGGAAGCAGCCGCTGATTGAGAAGCCCGTGTCACTTGCGTCAGATGGAGAGGTGCCATCGCTCTTCGTTGCGTCACGTTTGAGGATCCTCAGCTTGCTCATGTCAGATGAAGCACATGGACCAAGGATAACCGAGGTACTTGTACATCTAGCAGCAGCAGCACCAGCAGCAGCAGCAGCAGTTTAAATATAATGCCATTGTGAGTCTTTGATGTTGGAAGGTCAGCTTTCATTCAGTTCCTTCCAGCATTCTCACTGCGCCGCGTTTTTGCCCACCCCCGGGGATGCTTCGTACCGAACCCTAGCGGGGATGCAACGAAGCCTTCAGCCCTCCGCGCAGCCTGAAGTCGGGCGGAGAAACACCACGCTGTCGCGTTCGACGGTGTCCATTGATGAACATCGAAAGTGTTCCCAGCTTTTTTAAGAGCACATTCTTTTTTTTCAATTTTTGGAGGCCATCGCTATTAGGTTGGAGTTTTCTGATCATGCTCCTGCCCGTTTTGTTCGGGGAAAACGATGTCTATGACAGCAATATTAGGATATATATGGGTATATTATAAATTGGCATGGAAATGACAGTAATTGGCGAGGTGGACACGTGACATGTCCGACATTCCGAGGTCGACCAGGGACTTGTGGTTCATCCACAGAGCCTCATGTCAAATGTTACTTTCATGGCAGAAAGAGTCACAAGCGCGCAATGCTTTACTCGTGCTTGCACACGCCATGTTAAAAAATATTACCTTTTCAATCTTCAGTCCTACCTTGTCCTACATGGTTGTGCCCAGCACATCAGACTTGGACATAAGCTCCCAATGAAGCAAACACTGATGTAGACGTTGACAGACTTTGAACTCCTTGGAGAAGACCCTGACCACTCTCCCTGCCATCCAACACCTGGGATCATCTTCCCCAGAGGAAGCCAATCCATCAGGCCGCCACATTTCTCCAAGATACCCCCACTTGATTTCAGCAACGGCAGGAAGATGGTTGAACAGGGACTTGAAGAGTTCTACCCACACTCCATCAATCTTCATCAATGGTTTTATGCACAGGCACACATCGCCAGTCAAATCCGATGAAGAAGGCTTCGGGAAGGAATACTATCAACACGAAAGGCATGGTACTTTTGAGGGACATTCGCACACACCCACAGACAGCATTACAACAACCTTTGCGAGAAAACACTGTCAAAACCACTGATACAGTATGCTGATAGCCCCTTGGCTGCTTCTTTTGGACCCCTACCTTAGCCGACAGTCATCCGGGCTAAATGCGAGCATTGTGTGTGTGTGTGTGTTGTTTGATTACAGCAAAAACAGCTTCAAAACTGGACAGTTGCTAGCAGCTAGCAATTCTTGCCCTCAGAGTGGCCTAGCATACAGGTAGAAGTGCGTAAGTGTAAGCAAAGAAACAGGCGCACAGCAAGAAACTTGGGCCCAGGGCTTCACAGGGCTTCACTCATATGTGTTTGCCCACGGCAATTGAGCGCCCTGCCAGGTGCCTTTGGCGACCACACAGACGTCTGGCTCGGCACGGCAAGTATGGCACAGAGTCCTAGTCCAACCCAAGCCACTTTGGTTTCGGCCAGCAAAAGAACTCAACATGCAGAGATGTTTGCAAAGCAGGCAGCAATCCTGCACTGCATCAGCCTGCCATGACTTGATTTCTGCCCGAATTGCTGTAGTCGCACTGTAAATCTGTTGGAAAAAAAATAGTATGTGCGTGTACTATTAAGTTTTGTGTGACTTGTGAGGACTGCTCCCAAGGCTTCGGCTTCCGGTTTTTGTTCGCTCTTCGCTCCCCATGCGCAGCAACTGCTGAGGCGGCACGATCTCAAGCGCTCCAGGGACTACCCTGACTTCTACGAGGGGTCTTGAGCTCAATAAACCTCACTCCCGCTGCCGGTCCAGCACAGGAAGTGTTACTGTAAACTATAATGTACAAAAATAAACATATATATATATATTATATATACATACGTATATATATATATAAGTTATATAAGTCATGTCAAGACCAGCTTTGCAGCTACGTCATGCAAGCAGTCTGGACACTGCACAAGGTAGGAGCTAATCTAGA